CACCCAAATGCCCATCACTGACAGACTGGATAAATAAAATGTGGCATATATACACCATGGAATACTATGCAGTCATAAAAACGAATGAATTCATGACTTTTGCAGGGACATGGATGAAGCTGGAAAATATTATCCTCAGCAAACTAACACAGGAACAGAAAATCAAACACCACATGTTCTCAAGCATAAGTGGGAATTGAACAACAAGAATATTTGGACACAGAGGGGCAGTATCACACACCAGGATCTGTCAGGAGGTGAGGGAAAAAGGGAATGTTAGAACAACTACTAATGCATGGGGGCTTAAAACCTAGATGAAGGGTTAAGAGGTGGTTTGCTGCAAACCACCATGGCACATGTATACCTATGTAACAAACCTGCATGTTCAGCACATGTATCCCAGAACTTAAAGGAAAATAAAATAAAACACAAAAAAATCCACATATGTAAACTGAACATGTACACTTCTTTTTCAATGTCACCTTTCCAGAATAAACAAAACACATTACTTTGTTAAATATTGAGAGATAATTATATATTGGTAAGACAGCTTTCAGTGGCAAAAACTTCTAGTAATAGCTGATCAGAAAGCTGATTCTGTGAAAATCACATCACATATAGATATCTAGAGAAACATATAAGCTATTAAAAACTTCATATAAAAATTTTTAAAACTTACTAAAACCATGATTATTGTTTTTTACATAAATATTCACCCCATGGAAACTCTATAGCTGTTTACTGACTGCTCTTGTTAGATATCAGCTACTTGGTTTCTACTTGAAAAGAGGGAAAAAAATCTTTCCAGAAAAACAGCTTCTTATGAAACTTTGCAACACAATGTCCCAATGGCATAAAGCCTGATAATTAAAGTCAATATCTTGACTTTTGTTTCATTTTTGAATAACTATAAACAATAAAGGCCCTTAGAAAATCAAATATGTCACTGGTCTATGGTATCGTACAGAAGCCACTTTCATTATGTTACTGTTAAAATAAATAGAAAACTACGGTGATTATGTCATAAGATGGTGAATATATAATAACTGTGATGAGAAAATGCTGTCTCCACACAAAAATGGCAAAAACATCTTAATGTTAACCTATTGATAAAGAAAAGACAACAAAGGGAAAAATCCAAAATACACATTTAGCAAGATATTAGGAAACTTTTATCCTCAGCATTGCATAAATAATTTTGACAAGACCCAAGAAAACTACATTCAAATAGACACAGCTAGAGAAAGGATACTAGGATAAGAGGAGACAAGACCCCCTTTCAAAAATCAGATTCAATGGTCATAGTAGAATATATATAAAAAATGTATTAAATTTGAAACAAATATCTACTTTACTTTCTCTGCTAAAAAGTAGGTAAGACAACACACATACCAGTTGCATGAGACTAATATAAAATGGTGTTAGTGAAATACAAATAATGACATGGTTAGTCAGTAATAGAAATTATTCCATACTTCATCTTCCAGATTCTAGAGTCAGACTTCCAGGGTTAAACAAACTGGTGCTGTACTTCCTATGACTGTGGGCAGGCTACGTAAACTCTCTAATCCTAATTGCTCTCTTTCATAAGATGGGAATAAGACAAATTACTAGTGTAGTTAAGAGAATTAAACGACATAACTTAAAATTAATTGCTAAACAAAAATATATGTAAAATATTTGGAGGACTATGAAATGTTTGGAGTAGTGTTTGACACATAAGGCTTCTCAGTAAATGTTTATGATAATAATTATTATTGAATCCTCCATTAATTTTTATTAAACAGATCCATCTTCTGCTGTCAAATACCTTAGAAATTCAATCAGACTTAAATGGAGTACAATATGATGTGCATATATATATATTCACAATCATTTTTTGAATTAGTAACTACTTAGAAAAGTTTATATCATTAAAAACTAAAACCATTCTTCAGACAGTTCTTGGTGACATCTTAGCATTCATTATATTGACAAAGAAAGTCTTTAAAGTGAGCTAAAACACTAAGTATAAAAGCACTGAGAAAAATTATATTTACTTTAGGTTCAAAAATATGTTAATTTCAAAAACTATATTTTAGTTGAGGTACAGTTTACACATAATAAAATGCACAGAATTTAAGTGCAAATTTTGATGAATTTTTAATGGATATGTCAGAGTTGTACATATTTTCGAGGTACATGGGATATTTTCGTACATGTATACAATGTGTAACTACCAAGGTTATTGGGATATCTATCACCGCAAGCATTTATCTTTTCTTTATGTTGGAAACATTATAATTTTTCCCTTCTAGCTATTAAAAAATATTTTAAAAGTTATTAATGAAAATTTCTATATTTAGTTATAATTAACTATGTCTAAAATTCACTAACTGTGCTATTGAATACTAGACCTTATTTCTTCTATCTAACTATATTTTCATACTCATTAACCAACTTCTCTTCTGCTCCCTGCCTCTGGTAACCACCATTCTACTCTCCACCTCAATATGATCCATGTCTTTAGCTCCTACCACATATGAGTGAGAACATACAATATTTGTTTTTCTATGCCTGGCCTATTCCGCCGAACATAATTGCTGCTGCAAATGATGGGATTTCATTCTTTTTTATGGCACAATAATACTCTATTCTATACATATACCACATTCCCTTTATTCATTCGTTGATGGACACTTAGGTCGATTTCATATCTTGGCTACTATGAGCATGTGAGTGCCAATATCCCTTTGCTTTCTTTCATATATATAGCCAGCAGTAGGATTCTTGGATCATATAGTAGTTCTATTTCTAGATTTTTGAGGAATGTCCACACTGTTCTCCATAATGGCTATGCTACTTTACATTCCCACCAATAGTCTATAAGCATTCTCCTTTCTCCAAGTCCTCACTAACATTTGTTACTTGTCGTCTTTGTAATTCTAACTGTAATGAGATGATATCTCATTGTGGTTTTCATTCGCATTTCTGTGATGAGTAGTGCTGTTAAGCTTTTTTTTTTCCATATGCCTGCTACCCATTCATATGTTGAGTTCTTTATATACTCTGATAATCCTTTGTCAGATAGCTGGTTTGCAAATATTTTCTTCCATTTTGTGAGTTGTCTCTTCACTTTGTTAATTGTTTCCTTTGCTATGCAGAAGTGCTTTACCTTGATATATTCTCATTTGTCTATTTTTGCGTTTATTGCTTATGCTTGTAAGGTCTTACCCAAAAAAATCTTTGTCCAGGCCAATGTCCTATAGCATTTCCCAAATGCTTTCTTCTAGTAGTTGCAAAGTTTCAGATATTACATTTAAGACTTTGATCCATTTTAAGTTGATTTGTGTATATGGTAAAAAATGAAGATATAGTTTTGTTCTTTTGCATATGGATATCTAGCTTTCCTGGCAACAATTATTAAAGATACTCTCCTTTCACCAATGTACAACTTCTTAGCAAAATACAAGCAAGCAGAATTAAACAATATAAACCTGGCAAACACTAGTTATTGTTGTGTGACTATTTTTCTTCTGATTTTAAAGCATCTTAGCTGTCAGAGTATCTGGGTTTGAATTATAGATAGCTTTAGCATATGCTCTTTCTGCAGTCTTAGTCAAGCTACTTCACCACTCTAACATTTTGTATTCTTATTCATAAAGAGGGTGAAAATTATAACTGCTTCATGGAACTATTGTGAAAATTAAATAAAAAATATATATAATTTTCTCTGCACGTACTGATATCCTCCAAACAAATAATCTAATTCAATCAAACTCACTTTCCACATTGCTTTCTATTGTTAAATGCTAAGACTTCACCCTTTTTCCTCAAAATCTTTGGCATCTCTTGTTAAATAACATCCTAATGCCTCTACATTCAGTTATCCTCTGCTTATTCAGTTCAAATGCATTTTTCAAGTACTTCCTTTTCCACAAATTCTTTCTTGCAACCTACTATGGTCGGTTTCTTGATCTTGGAACTCCTACCAAAAGTACCATACATTTTAACACTTCCCTCTTTTTCAATTACTCAATATAGCTTACTTTTTGTTCCTTGACATCAGTGAAAATAACAGGAAATCTAACAGAGCTCTTAAGAGATTTTATCATTCGGTAGTCAGTTGAAATTTTGCTGAGTAGATGATATACCATGTCAGACATCAAATTCAATTAGACTGCATAATAATTTTAAACTACATCACCAAATGTCAGTACTTTGTTAAAAGCCATTTAAATTATGTACATATACAATTTTTTATTAAAGTTCTTTGTCTTTACCAAGACATTTCTACCTATCTCTAATTTCCTTTAATTGTGCCTTTTGACTACAGAAATGAAAAGAATATTAAAGTAACTATCAAATGGAATACATGTAACAAATGAATGTCAACATTAAAATATGAGAATGACTATGTTGCTTCTACACATTTGTCACCAGTGATATAGAAGTCTTTGCACAGATAAAAGGGCTTAGTGCAGTGGTCTTCAAGCTTGGCTGCATATTGAAATCACCTGAAGGTCTCTAACACTACCAATACCAGAATTCCAAATTCAGAGAATCCTATGTAACAGGATTGGCATATGACTTGGCAGCAGGTATTTAAAAGCTAGCCAGATGATTTTCATTAGCAATGAGGAATGAGAAATACTGGTTAGGGACTACTCTCCATTCAGAACCCCCTCTAGTTCACTTTTCTCTCACTTTGCTTTAGAAACATGCTGCCTGCCTGGAGAGATATAAACTCGTTAATCTAAGCACTCTTTTGCAGTCACCCATGGCATCTTTGGCACATATATGTAAGTAAGGATTATAAAGTGGTTTTACTTTCAAAATTCTTTCTGAAAGTATCTTTCTGTAATTTCAGTAGGCAGTAAGATTACACAAAGATATTAAACATAAAGTAGTAACTAAAATATCGGCCTGGCAAGAAGAGAGGAAAGAAGAAGGTAAAAGAAAAGAAAAACCTGTATTTACATTAACTATAAATGAGAGCTACAGTTTCAAGTTATGTGTACCTGACTGATGGCTCCCAGATCCTCGGCAAAGCCATTAACTTCTGATAGAAGCAGAGATATAATAGATTTTCTCAACAAGCTGCAATTTCCCAGGGTTACCAGACTCTGGGAGACATAATGCTGCACCTGAAACTAAAGACAAAAATGAGTAAGTTTCTATATTCCATCAAGTAAAATCAAAATGTATTTTCTAAGACCTTACTACTGAGCTAAATGCTGTGAGGAGTATAAAAAGTATCACAGTTGTAGTCCCAGCACTTTGAGAGGCCGAGGCGGGTGGATCACGAGGTCAAGAGATCAAGACCATCCTGGTCAACATGGTGAAACCCCATCTCAACTAGAAGATACAAAAAATTAGCTGGGCATGGTGGTACGTGCCTGTAATCCCAGCTACTCAGGAGGCTGAGGCAGGAGAATTGCCTGAACCCAGGAGGCGGACCTTGCGGTGAGCCGAGACTGCGCCATTGCACTCCAGCCTGGGTAACAAGAGCGAAACTCCGTCTCGGAAAAAAAAAAAAGTATCATAGTAATTCTCAAACAATATACATAAAATATAGGTCAGTCTCAAGCAAAATCATAAAATACACAAATTATAATATTATAGGCCTTAAGATTTTCTATAGCAGTTAATATTTTGAAATGTGAAAAGGGGGCCAAATGGAAGTTTTAGTTGAAATAGCAAAAGATAATAGTTTAAGTAATAGGCTATATACAGAATGAATAAAGGAGATGATAAACCAAGCTGTTAGGTTTTAGATAGACAGACAGACAGACACACACACACAAACAAAAGGGTGAGAGGAGAAGGCTGAAGATGTCTTTGGGAAGAGCTGTTGGTCCTCGATGAGTCCCACCTCCACACTGGAGAGGGACAAGCGGAAGGAACTTCACTATTTGCCACAAGTCAAAAGAAAGGAGCTTCAGAGTGATGAAAAAAATATGGAACACACAGAATTTTCATCTAAAGGCAACAAAATTACTTACCATTTAATAAATTTAAAAGAACAGTGGGAAACAATAAACCACATTCCATAGTTATTAGGAGAAAGGCCATTTGATTATTAATCATATTAAGGTGTATATAAATCATAGCTGGAGTTTTATTAAATCTATTCTTTCTTTAAGTAGCTGGGAGAAAGGAGGCTCTAAGGAGGATGTCAAAACACAGAAACAGTCATTTACTTTGTCATTGCTTTTTACAAGCTTAAAATTATACTGAGGAGACATTATTTTCAATTAGAAATAAATAACGCCATATGAAACTAGGAAATGTCACATCTGTGTCCTTGAGGACCAACACTTACAGGTAGATAACTCTCAAATTGATATTTTAACAATACACATTAATTTTGAAAGTTAACCAATGACAACATGAAAGTGAATGGATAATAGCAGCACTCCTTAACCTTTTTGGCACCAGGGACCAGTTTTGGGGAAAAAATTTTTTCCATGAAAGGTGGTCAGGGTGGATTGTTTGGAGATGAAACTGTTCTACCTCAGATCATCAGGCATAAGATTCTCATAAGGAGTGTGCAGCGTAGATCCGTCACATGCACAGTTCACAATAGAGTGTGCACTCCTATGAGAATTTAACTCCATAACAGATCTGACAGGAGGCAAAGATCAGGAGGTAGTGCTAGCTCCCCTGCTGCTTACTTCCTGCTGTGTGGCCTGGTGTCTGGGGACCCCTGGATAACAGAGTTTGAATTGAAATGTCTATTAAGTTAGTAAAAATGCCTACCATAGTGACAGGCACCAAGTAAGTGCTCAATAAATGAAATGTTATAATTTAGGATGACAGTATGAAAAAGCATTCATGACTAACATGAATTGAGTTCACCTTGAAAAGTTAAGTACTATAAATAAAATGTATTTTTCTAGATTTAATACAATCCTACTGGAGAACACTGCTGAGAAGAGAATTTCATCATAAAGAGCTCTTCTGTAGTATAGCTATAAACTTTCTTCACAACATGACTGAAGTCCATACAAAGACCATAAAACCGTTAATGTGGTTTAAAATTATATGAATATTATTATTAAAATAATCTCTATTCTTCCTTACATTTTAATTGAGACTTTCCCTTCTGTAAATACAGTGGAATTTTTTTAAAAGTCTGACATGGAAATCAAGACTGACAACAGTATTATATGTGAAGCTACTTCAGTCCAAACCATGGGAGGACACACTCAACACACATGATATCTTTTTCTAACACATCTTCCTCTATTTCAGAAGCTGGAAAACTAGAAGTAATTCTTCTCAGATTTCTCTGCAGTTAGGATTTTAAATGTGAGTTCTGTCCATCAAAAGTACTCATTTGAGACATTGATTTAGAAATGCGTTACCAAGGAAAACAAGTAGGTACAGGGCATGAATTTTGTTGGTACAGATAGCAGCTGAGGTGTCAGAGTTCTGGCTCATCCCACAGCTAGCTAATTACTCAGGTTCCTCTAATCACAGTAGAAGTAACAGCTACCTGGGTTGCCCAGTGGTTTAGGGAGTTATTCTTATAAATTTAGCATTCCCAAAGGAATTTTAACCTAAATGTTACCTACAGGACTCACAAAGCTCAGTGCCACATTAGTCTTGAAATATGAATGGGTAGAAATTCTTATCACTTTCCCAATTAATTTTTCTATATTAACTGTGAAGGAGATAGGAGGAACTTGGAGAAGAGCCATGAATTATTGTAAAGTTAATTAGGTAGTGTTTCCAATTTCACAGTGCTGTTGTTCCAGAAGTAGTTACTTTCCTGGAATGATCGACACTGCCCTTAACACGTTAGGTAGAGCCCTGGGATTCTTCAGAAGGTTATGGATCTAATGCATGTTGGAATACTCCCTCTATAGTGAAAAATCAGTTGCTTTAGTATGTATCTACTATCACTAAGAAAAAAGATATGATGCTTGACAAGCCTTTGTGAATACTGGAGACAACATATTACCATTTGGTTTACTACATGGAAGCATATTTCAAGTGAATCATAAGGCTGTACCCTTTGAGAAGAGGCCAGAGTAGTATATAAACATCTCCAGCTGGTCTAAGTTGGGAAACAAAAAGCTCTGTCCGTTGGATCTCATGATCAGTAAGATCCAACATACTTGGAGTTGGTCAGAATATCAAATGGAGTCTGTAGCCTATTCTAATTCGAAAATCACAAAGGAGGGACCCTCGGTTTAGAACAAAGTCATACCTTTCTTGTCAAGTAAAATTATTCTTTATAGAAAATAAAAATTTACATACGTTATTTAGCCCTGCATAAATTGAATGCCTGCCTGATAGTGGTATACCAACTAAGTGTATATCCAGAGCTACTCATTTGAATGAGGCATTATATAAAGTCAAAAATGCACAATACTCCATCAAGTAGCCATAGTATAAACAAAACTGTTATCAAGTTAAAACTAAAAGCAGAAGTGAATGTTGTTTGATCTCTCAGTACTTATAGTTCCAACTGGGAGACCTCCTCTTACAAAGATGAGGTAGTGTTCAATAGTAGAGAATTTATGTTCCAAACCAGTGACCAATATATGAGGCTCTTTCTCCCACAGGAGTTTCAGGGTGGATGAATAAACTGCATGGAAAGAGTATAGCTTATAACTGAAGACACTCCTCTAACGGCATACCACAACACTTAACCCAACTATAATGTTTTTAAAATAACGAATTTGAACAAAAGCTTAAAAATTAAATTTTAGATTATGCAATAGCAGGAGAAACAGATACTGTGAGTAACACATCAAGATGATTCCAGTAAACTCTCTAAGCTATAATGATGAGTTCCAAATAAGTAAAATGCAATAGAGACATATGTGTTTTGTCTATTCAAGTTCCTATAACCTATTAAAACAAGAATCAAAATTATAGATATTTAAAACATTTGCTACCTGCTAAGCACTTATCCAGATTTCAGCTAAAGATAATTAATATCCAGAAGAATCCAAAAGCCTCAAGAAGGGACTAATGGGCACCTTCATAAAGATCCTTGTATTTTCTAAGAAAATATCTTCTGTGGAGATTGGAGATGGGGCAGGCAGTGATTTCTGTTAGACTTTGTAATTTGGGAAATGACTTGTTCACACCAATGTGATTCTGTTTGAGAATCTGGAGAGCTCTGGGGCCCTCCCTAACAACCTTTATTACGAGCCATCTGCCAGTATGTAGAACAAATTATGCGTATTTTATGACCAACTTCTCAAAGGCAATCCCTTAATAAACAAATCACTTCCTTATCATGGGGGAGTGTATGACATTTGAATAGAAGTCAAAAATAAATAATAAGAGCATGATATTTTATGAGGTCAAAAGAATGTGGAGGCTGTAGAAACCATATGCCTTCTGATTTTATAAAATCCACTTTTATTCTTGAGTCATTTATATTTGATTAAAGATGTATATACACTGCTAACATTGGATATGTCAAATTACAGGAAAATAAAAAAGATGAGTGACACAAGCTCACAACTGAATTCTGTAAAACAAAATTTAAACAAAAAAGTATTCGTATAGCTCTACTAATGAAGGAAATGAAGTTAAACCAACTAAGAATGTCCATCGATGATAGACTGGAAAAGAAAATGTGGCACATATAGACCATGGAATACTATGCAGCCATAAAAAAGGATGAGTTCATGTCTTCTGCAGGGACATGGATGAAGCTGGAAACTATCATTCTCAGCAAACTGACAAAAGAACAAAAAAACCAAACACTGCATGCTCTCACTCATAAGTGGGTATTGAACAATGAGAACACATGGACACAGGGAGGGGAATACACACACAGGAGCCTGTTGGGAAGTTGGTGGCTAGGGGAGGGATAACATTAGGAGAAATACCTAATGTAGATGACAGGGGGATGGATGCAGCAAACCACCACGGCATGAGTATATCTATGTAACAATCTGCATGATCTGCACATGTACCCCAGAACTTAAAATATAATAAAAAAGTTTCTCTTATATATAACATAAAAAATACACAGTTTAGAGTAAAAGTTTCTGCTATAATTATTTACATAAAATGATGTTTAAAATAATTAGACGTGTTAAAATTCTCTATAAGAGAAGTTATTCATGAAAATGCCATAATTCTAAAGAATAGGACAAAACAAAATTAAAGCTCTAATAGT